TTTATGATTTTTCACTTTATTTCTTTTTTATTTTAATATGAAAGTCATGCTTTCATCATCTGTTAGTTTTTTTTATTATAATTGTTACTGCATTAGTTTTGTCTGGTATGTTGTTGTTAAAAAATGTGTTTTTTATTTTCTAGGCTCGTTTTTTGCAGAAAACAGGAGCTGTTGCTGGAATAGTATTAGGTTAGTATGATAAGATTCATTTTTACTTTGATTAAAAACATAATCTTTCTTAACATACATTCAATAATTTTAAAACTCTTTTAGAAAGCTTCAGTAGCATAATTAATGGTTATTTTATTTAGGTGTGCCTTATGCTTATTACAGTTGAATTGGTTTTTAAAACAGAATTATTCATGCTGCTGAGAATTGCTAATATTGAATAATATTTTTATTGTCTAAAAAATCTTAAATATCATAGTTACTATGAGTTTTAAATAATTAAACAGTTTGATATGTAGAAAGATCTGAATGCATCAGTTATATGTGCAGTTGATACAAAAGAAATCTGTTTAAAATATTGAAAACCAGCCAATTTTATAGTCACTTTCTGAGAATCTTATTAATATATATTTAATAATTATGTTATGTACACTGTATTCCATCCAACAAAATAGTTGATTCACAAATGTATGAGAGAAAATGAAAAACTGTTTATACTATCACATCATTGTAACATATGTTTAGGTTTAGAAACTGCCTTCTGTTCATACATGTTTAGATTTATTGCTTTTAATTATTTGCTATACGTATGGCATTAGAAGCAGTTTGATAAATTGCAGTTCTATCATATAGATAGCTGAATGTTTCTGTGATATTAATAACATGAATTTGTGGATCTCCTACCAAAATTAAATAATGCAGGCTCATAGAGGCAGTATAAATATTTTAGGAACATCTGTATGAGATTTCTTGAGGTTTTATTTTTTATTTCTATGAAGAACTCTGTGACTGGCTTAAATCTGTGTAAGCAGCCTTATTGATCAACTGCATTCTGTCATTTATATTTTTCTTCATGATAACATAATCTTTTAATAAATAATGGACTAAGTGACACTGCTACTGTGCAATGAAGATATTACAGTGTCACCTGTCTTCCACTCAGCAATGATAAAATGCTACTATAATGATTTAACATTCGATTGAGTTTTTCTATTATCTGATTTTAATCCAGCTGAGAATTCTAACCTTTATTTTTATTATTATTATTAAAACAACATCTAATGAAAACACTATTCGATTTATTTAAACATGAAAAATAAACTGAGAATAGCGATAAAAATCAGAAGATAAGGTGAAAGAAAAATCTGAGATTTGTCCCTTTAATTAATATCTATCAAATTCTAGTGAATCCTTAAAATTACTGGCCTATTTATGATCAATGGCAAAATCTTGAAAAATTTAAAAATCATATGCTTTCAGCAAATATAAATGCTTCTGTATTAACAGTATGTTTAGCTTTTAAATCAAAGATTAGTTTGGTTTAAAATATATTTTGCATTACTCAAGAATTTGCTTTAAAAGGTGTGGAAAAATTACTACTTTTGTAATTTTTGATGTTATATTTTCAAAAGCTGTAAATGCTTCGTCCCTAGGCAATTTAAGTAGTAATTATTCATCATTTTTAGTCCAAAGGGGCTTTGTTACTGAAGGACTATTGTTTTTGTTTTGTGGATTTTGCATTGAAAACTTCAGTATCACTTTTCAAATCATTGCCACCAAATACTGTCGCCCTGTATTATATTTGAAGAAATTAAGTAATGAGAATCTCCATAAATTACTGGATGTTTCTCACACTTTATAAAACAATGGTACCTGAGCTGTCCAATTTGAGGATGAACCTACCTCGAATATGGGCATCTGAAGCCTAATTTAAATGAATTTCTTTATATTGAATTTTGTAAAAATTTAATGAATTTTGATTAAGAACGCAACTATTAGCAACACTCTCGGAGGGAAAAACTCTTTTATCTCCTATGTGATTGTGTATGAAATTCTAAGATATGCTCATTTTAAAATTTTTGCGCATTGCTGTTGACTGAATTTGTGGTTAATTGCCAAGAATATGATATTTAATAAGTCAATGTAACCACAAAATGTTAAAAAACGCCCTTTGAGTAATTTAAAATCTGAAACATTTCAGTTTTTATTATTATTGTTATTATTATTTTCTTTATGACTCATCTCAGCACTTTATCAGGATAGCTTTTATAAATGTGCTAAGAGGAGATTAACTTTCTGAATTTTATACATGCAATAATTATTGTATGAGAACTTCTGGGGTCCATCAGTATAAAATTCATAAGTTTTAAAGTTTTTGATCTTTTTGTTGATCTACTGACTTCAAATTCTAGCTAAAGATAGGAATGGCAATCCTAAGAATAGAAATGAATGCTTCATTGAAGTGAAAAATGCTGTTTTATTAAATCCAAAATAAATTGAGAAGTAAATAGGAATTTGTAAATAAGAGTTATTCTTAATTGGTTATTACCATTAACATAATTCTACCAACCTGAGTTTTTGATACTATTAGGGATACAGAGCATTTAAACATAAAAGCAATTAAAAATATTGAAGTGAAACTGGGATCAATGTTCATTCTTCCCACCATTCATGATGGCATCATTGTGTATTTGTTAGAAAGGTGAAGTGAATAGGTTACCATCTGTGGCACTTTGGCATATGAATATGACTGATGCTCATTAATGAAAAAGTACCCAAATGTTTTGTATGTATTATTGTTTAAAACATATTTTGAGTGCCATAATAAGGCTAATGTAAGACTTAATTGCATTTGCTGTTTAATTATTTTTATCCATTTCAAATAAGTTTGCAAAAGAATTATAATTTTACAGATAATCATCCTGGTACAAGTTCCAAAACATCTCCAATGTTTGCTATGTCTGGTGATGGGAAAGATGATGTTTCTATTCCCATGGTATTCCTGTTTAGTGAAGAAGCTGAAGTTCTTAAAAGTGCTCACAAACAACATCCTGATCTGAGAGTTGGAATCTATGAAACCTCTATCATATCAGGTATATGTGGATGGAGTTTCTTTTATTGTAAATGAGTATCTAAGTTTTCGGTTTCAGTGTTTCTTCTGATGATTCTGTAAGTTCAGAGAGGAAAGAAAAGCTTTATATATAACTAATACTTAATTTATAAAATGTAACTTTATCATTACTCTTTTTACTTACAATGGTAATATGTTTTGAAAGGTCATATCTTGTGTTATAAATAGCATGTGAAATTTCTTAAAATATCCCATTTTTTGAGGAAAGATATTTTAAATTTTGTAAGAAATATTTGTTTATATGTAATGTTTATATGTAATTAAATTCAGATTGATATTGTTGAAATGGATATTTAAATAAACAGATTAGGCAAAATCATTATAACTGAAAAATTGTGCTAATTTTTCTGAACACAATTTTGAAGCAAGCACTTTGAAGTTAAACTTGAGTGTTCATAGTTTTTTTGTCACTTTTTTTAAAATATTAAATTTTTGAATATGAGTCCTATATTTACGATTAATATTATATTTTGATTCTACTAAGGTTTATGTGTAAGCAGTTTTATCTGAGTTTTAAGAGGCAGCTTTTCTTCTGTGTTGAATAGAATATTTTGAAGTATCCTCATCATTATCAGAATCAAAATTATCTGTCTTACATCTCCTATTCCTGCACTTTTTATTAAAAAATATATCACTTTTTGTTTGTATCTTTACTAATCAAGCTCTTGGAAAAATTTATAAAGCAGTATAATGTTTTACATGAGTAACAGTACACTTGTCATTTAGATGTTTTATTCTGCATATGGAAATAATTTCTTAAAATTTGAAATGTGAATTTCTGTATGCAAAAGGCAAGATATAGCTTTTGCTCATATTGCCTCATATAACTTTTACTACTTTTATATGTTCAGTAGAAAAAAATAAAAATTCAGTATTTATATTTCCCCCTACTGCAATTTTAATCATCATATGCAATTTTTACTTTAGTTTATTTTTAAATGTAAGTAATTTTTTCATCTTTTTAGAAGTTTATGGAAGGACAAGTACTCCTGTAAGCACTTCTACAAAAGAATCAGAGAACACTTCAAAATTACAGTCAGGAACTGGATTTGTCGAATCTAAGCCTAACCCACAATCTTTGCCAAAATTTTTTGGGGAAGATGAATTTATTACTGCTCAAAAGCGAGTTCAGTTATTGCTCAGTAAACTTCACAATCTGCAGCAGATTAAAGTTGATTTGGATCAACTGTTGACATTGACTCGGGAGTTTGGAGATGAGTCACGCACCTCCTCAAAAGATGGTAGCAACGCGTACCAGAAAGTGACTCGGGAAGCTGACTTCAAAGTTGCAGTAGAGCGACTCATGAGGAAGGAAAAAATACTAGAAATTGATCAAGATGTGCAGGTTCTTCTATCCCGTTTACGTCAGCTTGTTCAGTTTCAACCTTCTACATCTAATACCAAAGAGAGCTTGTCTGTTCTAGAATTAAATTGCAAAAGTAGCACAGTTAATCCATTGCACAGTAAGACTGCCTTTATCCATTTTATAACTGACAAATTAGGTGCTTCTAGTAACAATAAAAAATTTAGTGCTAAAGACTGCTGGGTAGAGACACCTGTTGGTGAAACTAGTGTCAGTGAACACAATTCATTTGCTGACAGAACTGAAGAATCATTCTCACTGCCAAAAGGAGACTTATGACGACTGTAATTAATTGTTGATTTATTTATTTTTAAACTGCTGTTGAGCATTTCCTGTTTCATTCCCTCCATCATTTCATGCTCTTCTTTAATATTCTACTTTTCCAGTAATGTTTTTCTTTTTAATTTTCAAGACAAATTAATATGTAAATATAGCTGAAATTTTAAATGTACATCATAATTTAATTTATTGAATGAAAAAGTAATTCCTTTAGTTATCTCTTTATGTAGTTTTTGTTTCCGTGCTTAGAAACAGATTTGTGATGTTACCAGCATGCTTTCTTAGAAATTATATGATGAGGGAATCAAGAGTTTTGAGAACACTTTACTCAGTTTATTGCATTAACATAGGATCGGAGCATTTCAATTGGCTGTGTAATTCATAATTACAGTCCTCAGATATTTCTGTGCTTCTAAGCTGCTATTAATAGACATTTCATCAATTTTAGCACTTCATTTATTAGTTCATTTTTAATGACTGGTATTTTTAAGGTACAAATTAGAACTGCATTTTGTGTGACAGTTGTTTCATCTGGTAACTTTTTTGTTTGTTAAAAGACTAATCCAAGCTCATGTCCGTTAAAACGGAAACTTATGTTTTGCTCTCTGAATTAATAGTATTATTTAAATGGGAAATTGTTTTACTTCCAATTAATTGCAGTGAGAATTATATTTATCATCTTCTTTGCTCTATAATGCTGAGTTATGTTAAACAAACCTTACTACTTTATTTGAAAGATGATGCAATGCATTTTGTTTTAATATTTTGCAAAGATCTGTGTGAAAATCTGTAATACATTGAGGCATATCTGTCTCTTAAATATTTATTCCAGATCTGTCTTTAAATTTTATATGTAAATATTTTAACATTTTTACATAAATTTAGTTCCTCAAAAATTTTAAAAAGTTATTTTAATAATGTTACTCTATTCTGAATTATGTATATTTAAGGGAAAAAATGCTTCTGATTTATGTGTAGGATTTAATTGTAACATATAATATTGTATTATTGTTGAAAGTTAAATAGAATATTTAGTTTGAGTTTTTATATTAGGTTAAAATATTTATGTAGTCAGAAGGTATATGTATATAAATTATTATGAAGATATACTAACAAGTATCCAGTTGGTTATTAGTGTCATACTATATTTATTATGATAAATTTGCAAAAAGAATTCTTCATAAATTAAATGTAAGAGTTTTCATATTATAGTTGGAAAAGCAAACATTCTTTTGCTATTAAAAATGGATTAGGGGTACAATTCAAAACCCACTCTTTCATTTTAACAGACTGTTTTATATAATTGTAGAATTTAAACAGAAACAAATATTTGTACTTTAAAAGAAAATAAATATTTCTAATAATTTAACTTATCTGTAATTTTCTCTTAAGATTTGCCTACCTGCTAGCATGAATGTTATTTTCATTGTGCTAGTTTTCCTGCATGGTTGTTTAAATGTTTTGGAATTAAGCTAGCTGCAATGAATTTTTATTTTTGTTTTATGAAATGAGACAATTAGCTTTTGACTAATAATTATTGAATGTGATAGTAAATAATGAATGAATAGTTTGTATGTATGCTGCATCTGTGGAATGTTATGCTAAATAAAAATTGTATAATAATAATATTCACTCTTTATATTGTTGTAATGTAAAAGCAAATCCATGTGAACAGATTTTAGGTCTTCAGTTTTTTATTAAAATCATTCTCAACATTTATGAATGTTTCCTTTGGCTTCAGCTATGCACAAATATCTCAGAACTGGGTTGAATTTATAGAATTCCAGATTTTTTAAAAATAATATAAAACTTTGTAACCTAATTTTGGAAAAGTTTTTATGTTGTTCTTGTTAGTATTCTGCTACCTGTTTGTGAAAATTTATTGCACATGAAAAATTTATATTTGTCCATCTTCATTCTTTAAAGCTTTGATAAGCAGTAGGCTGTAATAAGAGAAAAATTAGATTCTTTGGACAGCTGTTTTAATTGTCATTAAAAATTTATGAAGAAATAAAATATTTAAGAGAAAAGCAACCGTAATACATAGCATATTAATTTCAAGTAAAGGGAATGAAATTATTAAAAATCATGTTGATACAACTTGTGAAAATTGTATGTACTTAAAATTTATTCTGTGTCATTCTTCTTTGTGTTTTGATTAGTTTTCTTAAACTATATAACCTGAGATTGATTTTTTTGCTTTCCCCCCCCTTTCATTTCTTTACTGCTTGATTATTTATATCAGTTTTTGTTTTAGGAAGTCTTTCATACTTTTGAGTGACTCCAAAATTAAAATTAAGATTTGTCTTGTAAATGATGATGTAATAATTTAATAATTTATAAAAAAATTCCTCTAATAATACCTTTTGTATTCTGAATTAAAAGCAGTATTCTAAAATGCCATCAGTAAGTATGCCAAAATTTGTATCTAGATAACTGCTTTGATAACTTTTATCACAAAAGTAACACTTATATTTATCTACAAAATTTCTGTTAAAAGTTATTAGATTTTAGCAGATGCTGTATTTATTACTAAAGATCAAATAAAAAGGATTAATATATTTATAAATTTATCATTAGCTTTATTCTAATATAATACTGATCTGGGTTATATAATCTAGTTTTCAAATGCCAAGAAAACAGCAAGTAATTAATTATTTTTCATGCAAATTTTATTTCTTTTCCTGTGTACGTAATGAACTGATTCGATATATTTGAGAAAGTTGAGGGAGATTTTTCAGAATGTGTAAATTTTATTATTATCATGATTAGAGTTTAATTAAAATGTAAAATATTGTAGGAGCATGGGTTTTCAGTTTTTTTATTAAAATTATTCTCAATATTTATGAATGTTTCCTTTGGCTTCAGCTATGCACAAATATCTTATTTTAAAATTTTACAAATATAATTTAAGAAAAATTGTATTTTATTTAAAAATTCATAACTATTAGTGTCTGAAACCAAGAAGTGAGTATTAAATTATTCATTAAATACAAAGAGGGAGGCATCTGATCAACTCCATAGTTATTTTAAATGCCTTTTTTAGTTATGTACCTGTTTCAGTGATAGACTTGTATTGTAGGTATGATAATTAATTTGATATTTCAATATATAAAAAAATTATGCCTTAGATTTTTATGTATGTGTATAATGGATTTGCATTTTTACAAATCTACGTGTTTTGACAAAGTGTTGTGTTTGTTCAGAAAAATTAATATTATTTTAATGGCATTCTGATGTATAAATTTTTGATATGAACTGTTTTACAGTTTGTATAAAGTTTTAGTTAGAAAATCCACTCTATAATGCAAAATCAGTTTACAAAATGCAAGTTTAAATTTATTGTTCCTATTTAACATTTTGTTTTTAATTATCTTTGAAGTTTATCATAACTGAGCAAAGAACCTTAGAATAGCTGTTAATCTATTATTATGATTTCACATGCACTGAGGAAAAGATTCGTTTTTATTAGCTTCAATAAAAAATTAATGAGTCAGGTAATAACTATGTGAAACGTAATTTTCCTGTGTAAATTACACACTGGCATTGGGATTTTTATTTATTTGTTATTTTTTTTAACCTTTGTTGTGTAGCAAGTATTATAAAACTGTTGCATACTGTGAGTAATATTTTCTTTTTAAAGTTGCATTTTTGACTTCAGTTTTATTCTGTAATGCTGTTTCACTTGTATTAATCAAACCAATTTTAAATTTTGGATTTTTACTTATTTTTTATGAGTGTTATATGGTTGCTTTCTCTTTGATGCATGGATGTTTTGTAACCATCTGCCAGTAAAAACTTAATGACAATAGTTTATATTGTGCAAACTCCAAAATCCGGGCATCTTATATTCAGAATGGTCTAATATTCAAGCCTTCAGACCACCAGGTTCCCCCCCCCAAAGAACATTTATGAATAGAGAAACGATACTCCAGGAAAAGTAGTTGTGTCATAAGTGATTTCCTCCTGACTAGCTGAGATTTCTATATGTCACTTTCAAACATCTGTTGGCCAGGGAATTACACTATTCTGGCTAATTACAGCCCATTGATTAGCATTAATCATGACACACTTTCAACACTTGAGTGATTGTGGCTTTTTTTTGGGGGGGGAGGGCAAGGTAATATTTTACAATCTGACCTAAGCTATGAGTGAAACTCAAAGACATATTTGCTTGGAGAGTGGGGTGTTGCTAACATTGGTTTTCTTTTGTTGGCATTATATAGGAAAGTGAGAAAGAATTGAATTCTGAAGGAATTAAATTTAGTTAGATAACAAATTGCATTCTTCCTTAACTAGTTTGATTCAGTTCATTATTTGTTGCAGGCTATTATTATAATTCTCTTATTAAAATTAAAGCTTGAATTTTCAATTATATCAAAAAGACTTTCTAATTCTGGTGCTGTAGTAGTATTTGCAAAGCGAAAGCATATTTGGTACTTGTCCTCTATGTTGGCCTTGGAACAGGAGAGAGAGTAATTTTAAAATTGGACAAAACAACAACCTTATTTGCGTGCTATAGAAAATGAAATTTTCCAGTTAATTTAATTTGTGAAAAATGATAATATGGACGATGATATAACAGAGGTTTTTTATTGGCATGACAATGCCCCAATCAGAATCAATTAATAAATAGCGAAATTTATAGTGTGATTTTAAATCCAGAAAATATCACTACCAATAGTTACGAAAGTGAGAAAGAGATTTTTGAAAATAGAAAGTGACTTGACAGTTTGGGAATTCTTGACATGAAAGTTACAGGAATTTGTATCTGAATTAGAAATCATGTGTATCTAAGAAATTAAGGAGAAGAAATTAACATGAAGACTAAATGGCTTTAAAAAACTTACATTGAAAGAAAAGCTTAATAAAACAAATAAATATTGAGTTTTTTCTGTAAATTTTGATTTCTTTAAATTCATTGGTTCATTATTTTACAAGTTATTTTATATTTTTAATATTATAATCTTACTTTTATATTTTTAATTTTACAATTTTTATAATTTTATAATCTTGCTAAATTTAAACTGACACACAAAATTTCTGAAATCTGGAATCGCTGAAGTTCTGACGAGTCTGGAGCTTGGACTTTGTACTCTATAATCTATATGTAGCCTTATTTTCTTGCTTATTAATTGGGTTTGTACAAATAGTTGATCTGATTTTAAAGTACATTTGGTGATTTTAATTTGTGTTCTGAAAATGTTTTTGTGTGAAATAAGATTTCATGCCGCAATGTTTATAGATGTGTTTAAAACTGAGATCCAAAAATCATTTTCTTTGATGCAAATCTTCAGACCTGAATCTTTTCCACTTTATAAAATTATGGTTAAAATGTTTTTATTTCACTTCATGTGTTACTGTAAAAGTTTGAAATAGTAAATCTTAGTGTATCCTAAGATTTACTAGTATCAGTTGAAGTATGTAATGAAAGATTCAAATTTGGGCCTTTACCATCTGTCAACAGTAATTGTTGAAGCTTACTAGTGCAGAGTGGTAAAAGTAAATTCAAATAGTTTTGGTGTAGCTTTAATATGTGAATCTTTCACACACTGTATACAATAGTGTTTACAAATATTATTTCTTGCCTTAGATCTGTTAAAATGAATATCTAAAGTATAAAATATTATTTGCAAGTAATAAATATTGAAATAAAATAGTGCTATGTTGAATGATGTGAGAGCTTCAAATACATCAATCCATTTCTTCTAATGAGTTGTTCAAAGAGTTTTTAATAAAAGATTATGAAAATTCGTCAGTGTGAAAGACAAGATCTAATGTACGTAGAATATATACTGATGCAATTTTAGTCGACAAGATTTATTTTCTGTAGCGGAAAAGAATTTGATCTTCAACTTGTACTCAAAAAGGCATTAATAGAATAACAGGATGGTGAAACTGTTTTGTAAAGGAAACGTAAATTAAGTTACAATTCAACAATTAATTTATATTTTCACAATTAGTAAAATGATTTTTAAATTTATATTATGAATTTTAGAAGGTTTTTCAGAATTTTGTGATAGATGTTTTTTCAATATATTTATTAAATTTAGATATAGAAGGAGATATTCTGAATATTAAATCTCAGCATAGTATAAATCTCTGAAAGGATTTCTGAATAATGCACAATTTTTAATTTTCTCATTTATAACTTTTTTTAGATGTCATATGAAGTTATTCCATGTCAATTAATTTCTTTTGCAAAGTAATATTCTGAAACCAACAGTTTATATTTGTTTCATTGCATATATATTTTTGGGCTTGGGAAATGACATTTTTTTCAAAGCATGTACCAAGTCAAGTATTTGTTTGAATCAGAATTGCTCTTTTGATATTTATGTCAAATATACGAGAATAAAATCTTATTCTTATTTTAATATGCAGAACCTTTACAGTAAACTCTCGTCAAACACAGGATTATGTTATTAATACATTATGCATATGGCAAACTTACTTTCCGCAAAGTTAGCTTTCTGTGGAAAAAATGCATCAGGTATAATTCAGATTAAGAATTATGTATAATTTAAACAAACCTAAATATTGCTGTAATTAAAAGGAAAAAACAAAAACAAAAATGTTATTTGAATTTTTATCACTGTTGTTAAGGATGTGATACAGTTACTTTTTTTTTAAAATACTGATGATTTTTGCTGAGGGAAATGACATGCAACTCTTTTGAAAGTTTCACAGTTAGGAGTTCAGAATTTTCAGTGCCTCTTATAAAGTGTCCTTTTCTTTCTTCATTTGGGTGAATCTTCAAAATCGGACTTCATGTGTCTTTTTTTTTTTAATAATTTATTTTTTATAAGTTAAAGCCACTTTATCTACTACTTCATTATGCTGCTTCCACTGTCGGCCAGTGTTATAAAATTATCCAGTTCTTCTTTTGTCATTTCTCTTTCAGATGTGGAAGACAGAGATTCTTTGACTTCTCCGTCTTCCACATCTAAAAATCTGTGTCAGTTGCTTTTGCAATGTGTGCGATTTCTTTGGCTTCATTTTTAGTGGATGGAAATCTTTTAAAACTGTTGAAAGCATCTGACCAGAGCTGATGACAGCAAGCATTCAGTGTTGATGAATGAACATTCAACCACACATATGATTAAAATTCTAATGTTGGATAAAGTAAATGGAAACAATGATGATATTTCATATACATGAAACCACATTCCACAAATCCATGTTTGGCAAGGGTTTACTATATTGAAAACTCTGTAAGACAGTTATCATCCATGTTATATATATAACATGTTTTAAATATTTTTTTTTTTTTTTTTTTCTTCATGGAGGAGATCATATTATAGAGGATGGCTTTTGGTGATGACAGTTATTGATATGCATAACAAATTTACCTTTTTCAGTTCTCTTACAGTGTATTAAAGAAAATATTTAAATATAAGTGCAGTATAATGATTTAATAAAGTTGCAAATTAATGACAAATAGTGAATGACATAAAAGGGAACTAATATGGGTTTGGGTTTTGGGTGACATAAAATAAATAAACCAACCATTTTATTTCTGTCATTCATTAGAATTCATTAGGCTAGAAGCTAGCAGTATAGTTAGTGTTAGATAGTAGTGGTGGTAATTAACCCCATTTTTTTTTAATTTAATGTAATTTAATGCTTTTATTTTGCAAGCCTCTTAATGTTTTAAGATTTGTGAAATTTAAAATTAAAAAAAATGCACTCATACATGTACTGAATTGTCAATTTTGAGAATGCTTGCATTAGAATAACTGGTGAAAGACGGAAATGAACTTTCTTGTCATCACTTGTACTTTGATTTGTTTTACCTTAACACCTGTACTGAGAAGAAATTTAAAAAAAAAAAAATCATATAAACCATTTAGGAATATGATAAATCATTTAAAAACAGCTGTATCTTAATTGCCGTTGAGTAAAATTAATAATTCAGAAATGTTTTAACAATTGTTTTCTATAAGATAAGTTTTGGTACTACAATAAGAGCTGCAAGTCTAACGCTTATGAAATTATTGCATTCTTCTATGTATGTATGCTTTCGTAGTGTAAATGGCTAACACATTTGCTTCAGAAACTATTAGATTTTTCAGAGTAAGAAATATAAAAGGTTCATCTGTGCTGTGATTTTAACTGTGGATTTTTCAATTTTCTAGCTGAATATGCTAGCCATTTACACCATGGTATAAGTGTGTGGAAGATAATTCTTTACAACTATTTTAATGTGTGTAATGCATAAAGTATTTTAATTTTATTATGAAATTAGATGATAATTATCTTAGGAAATAAAATCAAAATTAATGCTGATTTCTGTTTTCAGAAATACTGATAGCTTCAAGGTGGTTGCCATGAAGGGTATTCTATAATTTCTTGTATTTTAAATTCCAGATAGAATAGTTATTTTTGTTAATATTACCATAGTAATAAATTGATTTCTGTCAAATTCAAAAGAAGTGCATGAGATTATTCCAGTGTGTGAATAGAAAGGTAAGGCAAATTCAGAAATGCTTGTAAATTTTTTGAAATGCTGAAATTGAGATCAAAGCTATTTGACTGAATTTGTATTCTTATTTTATTTGTTAGTTATCTTTAAGTAATCTTTCAAAAACATAATTCATCTCGCTTTTTTATGGTAATTAATTTTAATATCTTTTTTATATTTATTCATCTATGTGAATTCTCTTGTAAATATTAACATATGTGTGAATGTGCCTGTCTAAAGACACAAATATAAGACAGCATCATGCAACGTACACATATAAGCCTCACATATAAAATGATCCTTCATTTTTAAAGTTGTTTCTTGAGGGAAAAAAAGAGGACTTATGACATCTTATGCATTAACTGGATTGAAAGTGTCTTGTTGGAAATAAATAATAATATAATAAATTGGTCTAAATAACCTTCAGTAAGCATATATTTTCATTTCACATAAAAGTTAGGGAATGAAGTATGCAAATTAGCACGTATGAGATAGATATGATTTTCAAAAGAAAGAGAATTTTAAGAAAAACCATCATCTTATATTTGGGCTGTAACAAAATTGTGAAATATCTATAATATTCATATTGCATTAGAATGCCCAAGTTTTATCTATTATTTAATTTATTAAATTTTCCATGCAAAGTCATCTCATATAGGAAAATGATTTGGGTAACCTTTAAAGCAACCAGAACAAAATTCATATAATTTTTATACAAAATTTATTTACAGTAAATGCATGTGTTTAATAACACAAAGATTATCAAATAATAAATGTGAATAATTGTTAAGTAAGCCACATGGACTTGCAGGCATTTCATTGCAAAATTTCCACTATTAAAACTTTTAAGGATTAATAGTTTCAGTTTTTGATTGATGAAGTTTAAGATAACATGTATTTTAAATTTCTATAAAAAATTGTATAATATACATAAAAAATGACTTTAAACTAAATTATTTTTAAGAAAAAGATAATTGCTACAATGGAAATTTATTGGCAGTAATTAATCAGTCTAAGCTTTTTTTTATAAATTTAACAAATTTTAATTGTCATTGAATTAAAAAAATAAGTTAACTTTTTGTCAATATTTTTTAATAAAGCAGGAAATTATGAGTATGAATTTTAATGAGTATGAGTATTAATGAATATTTATGTAGGGAAGAATGTTGTGTAATTAAATAGGATATAAAAATACTACTATGAATTATTCTTATGTAACTTAATTTTATTTGTAAGCTAAATTTTATTTGAAATCATTATTGAAATTAAATTTGAATTTACTTCATAAAAATGGCAAAAATATTTCAAATATTTTATTGCATTACTATGTTTTCTAGAGTAATTTATTTTTGCTATTTGTAAAGGGAAAAGTAAATGATATTGCCTTTTTGAATTCTGCTGATCATATAGTCATTCCTGTATTTAATTTGTAAAGGAAAAAGTAAATAATAATGCCTTTTTTAATTAGTCATTCCTGTGTTTTATTTTTGTGTGTGGGGGGGAAGACTATAAAGCATAGTGGACTGTTTCTGTGAGTTTCCAGAGAAATGTGAAAAGACAGTTTATGAAGTGTGTTATAGTATAGATAACTGAGTATCTGTGCTAACCCAAATGCTCAAATATATGTATTGTGACGGGATGTTAAAAATAATTTTGATTTTTAATTTAAAATCCTGCCATTGTGATTATTCACAAGTAGCCAAATACTATTGAGTAAGAAAATGTTGAGCTGTTCATTAAATATGTGAAAATTGGCAGTTGTTTGTTGGCATTATTGGAAAATGCTCATGTTAATTGTATTGTGGTCAAATGCTGTGCAGTATTTGTGATTGAAAATAAGTGTATTTTTTAAGTCATGGTGTAATGATAGTGTATATGTACGATAAAATGTTTCAGGAATTCCTTGCTCACATTTAACTGTGGTTATTTGAATTGTTGATGTGGATCAATGTTGTAGTATTAATAGAAAGTTCCTTATCAAAAAATTCATTCTTTCATTTATGTTGAAATATCTGTCTTGCATTTTGTTGTTCAGAATGCTAGTATTTTCAAACTAATATTCTCCTGAGATAATTTTTAGTTAAAATGTGGCATGATTTAAGTACATAACAGTTACATAACTATATTTTAGAGATTTTAATCAATTCACAACTAATAAGAATCATTCAAAGATCTAGAATTGTCATGCATTCTATCTAAGGTGGACTGAAAGATTAAGAATGGAATTGATCAGCTAGTTTCGATGTAATAATTAATTAATTTTTTAGGATTTTCATTTTCATTACATCAA